TTATTAGTCTTAAATTTTCGTCCCCCTATCATTACTCTTTTATAATAAGAAAATTATTAAAATTAAGATATAATCATAAAATTAAAATAGAAATAAAAAAATTATTTCCTTTAAAATATAAAAAAAATAACTATTATTTTAAAATAAATTCTAAATAAAAAAATGCTTATTATTCTTGGATGTAAGGAGTACATTTTAACTTTACTCCATTTGTTCCAAAATAATTATCGCTCTATAATTCCAAATTTGTCTCAAATTAATTTTTTTTTTAAAATTTTTCGAGGTAAACAAATATTTTTTTTACTTTAACCTTAGTATTATCTATTTACTTTAATTAATCATTCCATTACAAAATTTTTCTCTTTATCTTTGATTTTTTTTAAAGGTAATATAACTAAACATAAATTATCCTCGAATTCTTAATTTGAAAAAAAAAAAGAAGTTATTTTGAGAAAGAGATAATACAAATGCAATTAATTTTTTGAACTAAATAAAAAAAGAAATGATATAATTTTATCCTAATAATTACAATGATGAATTTTTTAGTTGTTAATCAAAATTAAAACATTTAAATTTATTCAAAAATTAAAAAAAAAATCTTACTGAGAAAGTAAAATGATTTGGATATAAAACTTAATTAAAAATTGTGAAGTTTTTGGGGTTAAAATGTAATTTTCCAAAACTATATGTGCCACATAATTGGTGCCACGTAAGTATGCCATGGGATTCCGTTAAAAAAGCTAATGGCAGTTTTTTAGGTAGATGATTTTGAAAGAAACTAAATTTTCTAAACTAAAATGAAAAGATAGTAATAATTAGTAGATGAAAAATTAAATTTAACCCATTTTTTTAATATGAATAGGTATTTGATTTTACCCATCAATTTAATTTTTCCCCTAATTATGTTTTATCTTTTTTCTAATTTTAATACTTGGTAGAGGTAAATTAATTGCAAAAGATATGAAACATGTATTTCTTGATCAAATTCATTCAATAAGGAAGATTGGAGTATTAAAGTGTGAATATGTAAATTGTGTGATGTTTTTAGTTTGAAACATGACAGAGACCATCTAACTCCTAAAATGGTTTTGGTTTATGAGAAGGTAATTTTATAATTTTTTTTTTGATATTGGTTGCACAATGGAAAGCAACCATTCCTCATCCATCAATGCATTATACCGTATATTATACAATTTGAATTTAAAACCTCTTATTTCCAATAAAAAGAAATTACCATTGAGTTATTTTAAGTTGTTGACTAATTTTATAAGTTATTACATTTGGTCTTTTAGGTATTTAATGAATTAATAATAATTATTTGTTTGTAAAAATTTTTTATTTATGCTATAATTTAGAATTCTAATATTTTATGATTTAAGAACAAGTTGGTCGAAGGGAACGTTTATTTCTTGAAAAA